CTTTAACCACAACGCAACATAGAGCACGACTCAGTATACTGCGGCATGATCCATGTCCATACAGGGCCTCGAACCCCGCCGAAGGGGTGGAACATCTCGACAATCTTCCCCCGACTTCGGGCGGCTTGTTTTTTTCAGCCCTGGCGGGTTGTCCTACTTTTCGGCTTCTGGTTTTTGTTGCTGGTCCCGGGGCTACCACAAACATGGCTCTCTGGGATGAAGAGTTGTCGGCCGTTGCCAGAAGTGCCCCTGGGCCCCCACGGCTTCCCAAAGAGGCCCCCATGGCCTCCAGAGCACCCCTTACGAGGCCCAGAAGGCCCCAGGGGCTCCAAAATTGAACGACACGCTGGCGGCACCCTGAGCCAGGGTTACCTTCAGCAACCCCCGACCCCCCCCCCCTCGGAGGGCGTTGAGGCCTCCTGGGGCCCGCGGACGGAACGGCTCAGACCTGTCGGCCGCCTGGGTCCGTACAGCCGAGCATTTGAGCAAGAAACCTCCTCCCGAAAAACTGGGCCAGCGTATCTGAACCAACTTGCCGGAAAGCCGGCTCAGTCCCCACTGTCCTGAGCGCGCTCGCTTCGCCCCTCCAGCGGTGACCACAGAAGCTGGCCCAGGCTTGTCGCAGGAACCTTCCGGGAAACTGGCCCGGAGTTCTTGAATGATGATCTTCTTGATCCTATTTTCGGCTGTATGTCTGCACCTCCCCCCGGCACGAAGGTCACCACCTACCAAACCACCCCAACCCAACCCGAAGGCCTCAATTTGCCTTCCATTTCCAGTGGGGGGGGGTCGGGGAACGTTGAAAAAACACATGTGGAACCCGTACCCCCCCCAACCCGAAATTGGGGTCTTCGGGTTGGGTTGGGGTGGTCTGGTAGGTAGTCAAATGATGATCTTCTTGATCCTATTTTCGGCTGTATATCTGCACCTCCCCCCGGCACGAAGGACGTGGGGGCCCCCAGGAAAGAGGCCCTCACCTCGGGCCCTCGGGGGGGCCTGCGGCCCATCTCTGCCAGGACCCCTCCCCTCGGCACCGCTCGGGCGCGTGCCTTCTTCGGTGCTCTCTGTTCTCGGAGGCGGAGGAGGCGGAGGAGGCGGAGGAGGAGGAGGAGGCGGAGGAGGAGGCGGAGGAGGAGGAGGAGGAGGAGGAGGAGGAGGGGGAGGAGGAGGGGGAGGGGGAGGAGGAGGAGGAGGAGGAGGAGGAGGAGGCGGAGGAGGCGGAGGCGGAGGAGGCGGAGGAGGAGGAGGAGGAGGAGGAGGCGGAGGAGGAGGAGGAGGAGGAGGAGGAGGAGGAGGAGGAGGAGCGGAGCATCCTGGACCATCACGTCAGACAGGGAGGCGCGCGACACCGAAGAGTGCACGAGGGATGGACGTCCGAGCGGTGGCAGGTGCCGGTCCCCAGACCTCCCGACGTGTCGCGTCGGGGCGGTGGCGACGCCCGGCGTCGGAGCGCTCCCGGGTGGGGCGCCGGCAGCGGCCCCGACGGGGAAGCGGCCGACGTCGATGGGGCTGCGCTGTCGGAGAGCCGTCGACCCAGACCTCCTCCAGTCATGAAAAAATCACGACGGGAGGTTTTTCTCTATTTTCGGCCTCTGGGGGCCCTTACCGGCCCTCAGGACCGTCAAAAAACGACTCGGGATGCAAAGCCGGTCCTGGGGAATGGGTCCGGACCTCTGGGGGTCGCGTCATGAAAAAATCATGACGTCGGGGGTCTGGGGAGGAGTGCAAGGCCGAGCGACCCACTCAAGCAGTGGCGAAGCGTCCTGGCTCGCCTCCTAGCCCTACCAAGCAATGTTCTAAGAAGCTTTTGTGGCTTCCACGAAGTGTTCTTAGAACACTTCTGGCGGGGCCTGTCTTGTTTTATCACATCGGGCTTATGTTCTAAGACACTTGTTTTTGTTCTTAGAACGTTTTGGGTTCTAAGGGCATTTCGTGGTAGGACTATAGGAATGCCGGGACGGTCGGTCCCTGCTCAACCCGCACCGTGTCAGAAACCAGCGCTGGGACCGTCACGACACGAACCTGCCGTAGCGTCAAGTCGGGCATGTCCCTCTGCAGGAAGAATCTTCGAAACAGTTGAAATCTAGCCTGGGGCGATCTTCCTACTATTTCTGACTCTGTTGGAATATTTTTTGTATATCCGCCTGTAGCAGGACATGCCCGACCTAACCGTGGCGGAAGAACACCGCGGCGTCCGGGGGGGGGGGCATTTGCGGGCCTGGGGGCGGTCAGAGAGCGCTCCGCTCGGCGAAGAGCAGTTGTTTTGGACGTGCGGTGGTGTCGAGGGCTCCGGGGAAGACCGCTCGCGCCGTGAGCAGAGTCACGACGTCGGAGGCCTGGCCTCTCGCCTCGTCCTCCTGCTGCTGCTGCTGCTGCTGCTGCTGCCGCTTCTGCTTCTCCTCCTCCAGTAGCCTCCCTGGGCCCAGGCCATGCCTCCAAGCGGCGGCGCGCCCGAGGGGAAAGTGAGAGGGGGCAGGCGTCAGTCGGGCATGTTCTTCTACAGAAGGGATATTCAAAACTGATTGAGTAATAGTCTGGGGATCATGTTTGGCTATTTCTGTTCTTTGGTTGCTTTTTTTTGTGTGTGTGTGTGTGGCCATTTTGGTTTCTCGCCCAAAACCCGCCTGCAGGAGGACATGCCCGGCCTCAGGGTAGGCCTTCTCAGAAGGCGGCGGGGCCTTTCGGAAGCCCTCCGGCCGTCCGAGAGGTCCTCTCTGCCTCCGGAGAGAAAGCGTGAGGACCTTGTCAGGAAGCCGGAGGCCTTCCGAGCCTTCTGAGGAGGCCCGCCTCCTCTGCCTTTCCTCCCGGGCTCGCCGCCGATCCTCCTCGCTTGCATGTGCATGCTCGTGCCAAGCATCGCCTCACGCTCAGCATCCTGTGGCCGCGGCCGCCTGGGGGCGGAACGCCTCTTCTCTTGGAGCGAGCCCCGAGGATGGAAGCGAAGGGGATCCTCGTCACAGATCGTCACCACACACCAAACCACCCCAACCCAACCCGAAGGCTCAGATTTACCCTCGATTTCCAGTGGGGGGGGGTCGGGAAACATAGAAAAAAACACGTGTGGAACACTCACCCCCCCCCAACCCGAAATTCGGGTCTTCGGGTTGGGTTGGGGTGGTCTGGTAGGTAGTCACACGTCGCTTCGGCTCCTTCCCCTTCCGCAGCCTCTCGGGGCCCAGGCCATGCCTGCCTCCCAAGGTCCGGGAGGGCCGGGGGGCGGCAGCGCAGACCGCGCCTCGACTCGGGGGCGACCGGCGTTTCTCCGTGTGAAGTCGCGGCCTCGCGGGCTCGCGGCCCTCCGGGCGCCGCGGCCCTGCGCGGACGGGGCTCCTCCTCCTCGTCCTCCTCCTCCTCCTCCTCCTCCTCCTCCTCCTCCTCCTCCTCCTCCTCCACCTCTCTTTCCTCCTCCTCCACCTCTCTTTCCTCCTCCTCCTCCTCCTCCTCCTCCTCCTCCTCCACCTCCACCTCCACCTCCACCTCCACCTCCACCTCCTCCTTTCTCCTTCCCTCTCACCCCGCTTCTTCTCCTTTCCTTCCTCTCCTCCTCCTCCTCCTCTTGCGGAGGCACCCCCGCAGCGCGCGCCATCGAGACGTGGAAGTGAGGGCCCCTGCGGATTCGGGCGGGGCTCTGGTTCTCGGGTCGACCGAGGAGGAGAGGAGGAGGAGGAGGAGGAGGAGGAGGAGGAGGAGGAGGAGGAGGAGGAGGAGGAGGGAGGAGGAGGAGGAGGCAGGAGGAGGAGGAGGAGGAGGAGGAGGAGGAGGAGGAGGAGGAGGAGGGAGGAGGAGGAGGAGGAAAGAGAGGTGGAGGAGGAGGAAAGAGAGGAGGGAGGAGGAGGAGGAGGAGGAGGAGGAGGAGAGGAGGAGAGGAGGAGGAGGAGGAGGAGGAGGAGGAGGAGGAGGAGGAGGAGGAGGAGAGGAGGAGGAGGAGGAGGAGGAGGAGAGGAGGAAGACGCTACGATCCGAGGACTGGAGCCCGCTCAACGCATCACAGGACGAGGAGGAAGGAGGAGGAGGAGGAGGAGGAGGAGGAGGAGGAGGACAAGGAGGAGGAGGACCAGACCGCGAGGGCGCGGATACGGAACTTCGGGCGGGCTGCAATGGGGGGGTGACCCAGACGGGGGGGTGAAGACCAGGGCTCCGAAGGGTCCCTTTCTGGGGCCCCCTTTTTGGGGCACCCATCAGGAGCCCCTCTGGGGCCCTCTTCTTCCCCCCCCCATGTGGGTCGCCCCCCGTTGCCACCCGCCCGAGAGTTCCTCGCCGCTCGTGGGCCCGCCCAGACCGAGGCCATCCTCCCTCCGCACGCCGGGGCCCCGGCGAGAAGGTGCCCGGACCCCGGGGCCGGCAGCCTCCTTCGGGTGGAGCTCGTTCGCGGACGCCTCGCGGCGCCGGCAGTGAGCAGGTGCCCCGACCTCTCCTCGTTGACCAGCCTTGAACATCTCTCCATCCCTGTGATTGGCATGCGGAGGAGGAACAGAGATCCCTACCTCTACCCCTTCGCTCCTTTTCTCCTTTTCCGGCTCCCTGGGAGGCCCTCGTCGCTACCGCTGGATTCGCCTCGAAATCCTGGTCAGAACGCACCCCGGGAGAGGCCTGGGGAGTAGCAGTATCGGTACCTTTTTGTCTCCCCAGGCATCGCCTATCTCGATGCCGATCTTCAGGATTCCCCCTCATTTCCTGAGGGCGCATCCCCAGGATATTGTCATCGCATCTGGGCTTGCCAATCTCAGAGACAGGGAAAGGTTGGAGCTGGCTGGGGGTCTGAGGTGGCCCAGCACTGGTTCCGGCGAGCAGGAAGGGGGAAAAGGTTCGAGGTTCTGGGTTCGATCAGGTTTTTTGCCTGACGGATCAGGGGCTCAAAATTGCTCCAGGTGGACCCAGGGAGGGGTCCAGGGACCGATGCTGAGCGGATCTGCCAGTACCCTCCGTTCTTGACAACATTCCTCGGGGCCCATGCAGATCAGACCCCCCGTCTGCCTCCAACGCCGAGCGGCGCCCTGGCCATGGCCGTGGCTCTTGCTCATCCGCCCGCTCGGCGAGCCCTTTGGTGGCTGGTCTGTCTCGCGGCCCTGGTGGCCGCTCCTGGCTTGGAGGTGGACCTGAGGCGGTGGATATCGCGGATGCACGCGAGCAAGCTGTACGGCGGTGGCCTTGAAGAGATGGTCAAGGACTACCGGGTCGTCGTGGTCATGACGACGATCCCGCCGCGCATTGAGAGGATTGAGCCGGTGCTCGATGCCATGTTGGCTCAGACGTGGCCGCTCGACAAGCTGTATCTCAGTATCCCTCACACATACAATCGCACTGGGGAGCCCTACGTCATCCCCGACTGGTTAAGATCGAAGTCTGGCGTCCACATTGCTCGCTGCGAGGACATGGGGCCAGGCACTCATTTGCTCAACGGTCTCCGGCTCGAGCAAGACCCTTGGGCATTCATTGTCGTGGTTGATGACGATCACATCTACAGCCCCGACCTCGTGGAGACGCTGATGCGAGCGGCACTCGCTCATCCTGGCAACGCGGTGGCTGCTCAAGGCTTTCTTTCTGTGCCTGGGCTTGAGATCACAAAGGATTCTCCGCGGTACTTGCATGATCAGGGATTCGCTTCTGGCCCAGTGTTGGTCAGCTACCTCGGAGTTGTCTACCAGCGGGGCTTTTTCGACGATACGGTCTTTGACTACAGCCTCGCGGCGGAGCAGTGCAAGTACCAGGACGACATGTGGTTCTCCGCCCACCTCGCGCTGAAGGGCATCGGACGCGTGGTGCTGGGGTCTGCGCTCGGCGTCCAGGAGCTCAGGGACATGCACCTCGGGCCGGAGTCGCTGACGCACTGGAAGGAAAACAAGCCCCGCGAGGTCAGCGCCAAGTGCAACGACTCGCTGCTGCGCCGCGCGAGCGCCATCTGGGCGTGCCGCTCCCGCCTCGTGCTGTCGCTGGGGGGGCTGCCCCCGCGCCCCTCCGACGCGGCGGGGAGCGACGCCGCAGAGGTGGGCGAGTGGCAGTCCGCCTTGCGGGCGGTGCGGGACCTGCCGATCAGCCCGGACCTGACCTATCTCGCAGGCCTAGAGATTGACACCAACACCAATATCGGCGCTGTTCCTCCACCGAGGGAAGAAAGATCCCGACCTCGGTGATGGTGGTAATATTCTGGCTTCCAAGGTGGCCGAACTAATACCACCAACACCGAAAATCTAGGATCACCTTCCCCCTGTGGAGGCACCCCCCTGTCTTGGTGTTGGTGCCAATTTCCAGGCCTCCGACTATCGCCCGCAGGGAGCACCTGCACACCGCCGCCGTGCCCGTCCAGGGCCCTCCCGGGCCCTGGCGCGGCGTGCGGTCCCTCCTGGCCTCGGCCGGGCGGGCCTCTGCACCGGCCTTGGCGCCGAGGAGGGCCCTGGCCACGCGCGGCTGCGGCGTGCAGCCGCCCGCCTGCGGCTGTCTCTGCACCGGCGGCGCCCGCGCCCCGACGGGGCAGCGGCGGCCCCTGGGCGCGTCCTTCTGGCTGGGCGGGGTGCTGGTCATGGACTCCGACGCCTGCCCGGCGAGCCCCGCGGAGCCGGGGGTCGGGCAGCTGCTCCGTGACCCCCTGCGCTGGGAGGGCGACCCGAGCACGGTGGTCCTCCTCGGTGCCCTGGAGGATGTCGTCTCGCAGGGTGCCGACCTTGCCGCGCTGGCCGAGTGCGCCGCCTCCCGCGTCCCCAGCGGGTGCGGGCAGGGGGAGGCTGGGCCGGTGGACAGCGCTGGCAACGGAGCAGGGGCCGCAGCCAATGCAGGGCGGGACTCCGCCAACGCTGCAGTTGCAGGCTCGCCGTTCTGCAGGATCGGGGAGCTTGCCGCGGTGACGGTGGGTGCGTTGGGTGAGCTTGGCGCTGCCAGGACATCAAGCATCTAGTGTGCGGATGACCGCTGGACGAACCTACGCTGTATGCAAGCGTACACGAATGCACGCAACCTGTCGCGCATGTGCGCAAGCACGCGAGCGATCAGGCAGGCAAGCTAGCAGAAGTCAAGCACGCAAGCAGTCAGCAGTGCGAGCATGCATGAAATTATGCAGTAGTGCAAGCAAGCAGTGCAGAACACGCACACTGACGTGCATACATTCGAGGATGCAGCCGCGCACACCAAATAAGCACACCAGCAAGCAAGCATTGATACAATCATGCAGCCACGCAGGCACGCGCGCATGCAAGCGTGCAAGGACGCTGGCGGCTTCACGAGAAGACGGCATGGCCCTTCGTTTTTTCATAGAGCTCTAGAGAGAGCGGGTTGGATTATGTGGGGTCGGGGGACGCTGTGCAGTTGTGCTTTGCCTTGTGGACGCCCACCTGCCCCTCGAAGGACGATATCCTCGGCTGCACCTCCTGCGACAAGAATGTGTACCTCTGGAAGCACACCACTGGCGAGCTGTTGAAGAAGCTCACTGGTCATTCCAACGAGGCGCCCGATTGGTGCTTTTACGATCTCTCACAGTCAGGAACTTTGGCTTAGCCTCAGCGTGTCGCTCCACTGGTT